GGTTCATTATAAGCGTACTTTACTGTATTTGAAATTTTATGAGAAAAATGACAGTTGCAGCCACTCGAATAATTATTAATATTTCCTATAAGGGAATTTGTCATATTTAATTTGAGTCGCATTTATTGTTCAAAAGGACTTACTTTAATGGAATTTTGAAAACATTTTGAAAACGATTAATTCAAAGTGTTAAAAAAACAAGTTTCAAATTACAGTTGAAAAAACCGCCCAAAATCAACTTTTTCAAATGGAAACCACCATTTTTGATAATTTTGTCACATTAAGTATTTAAAATAAGTGTATGTTTGTGTAACGATGTCTATTCCAAAAGTGTTTAGTTTTCGAAATATTGCCAATTTAATGTTTTCATATGGCTATTTTGCAGCATCTTCTTGTAAATCCTGTCACTCCTAGTTGCCATGACGAAAGTGGCCATTTTTAATGCAATCAAATGCCAAAGGAATTCTGACAGCTGTCTATGAAAATAATTAATAATCATGCCCGGGCGCATCAATTCTACAAACGAAGATTATTTAAAGTTATTTATTATTTATGGAAAATGTGATAAAGTTATATCAAGAACCGTTTATGTATCATTAATTATTATTATATCAATCACTGGCAATCACAAGACGTATTCAAAATTCTTGAAATTTTCAATAATATGTTTAACAGCACATCATGAAGGCTTCTGTTTTTGTGGATATCGAATGGCAAATGTGGCACATGTTCTTGATACAGCTTTATAACATTCTTTATAAATAATAAATAAGGTTAAATAATATTCAATTTGTATAACTGAAGTGCCCTGGCAAAGGTAACTGACAGCTGTCAGCATTCCTTTGGCATTTGATTGCATTAAAAATGGCCGCTTTCGTCATGGCAACTAAGAAGTGACAGGATTTAAAAGCAGGTGCTGCAAAATAGCCTAATGAAAATATTAAATTGGCAATATTTCGAAAACTAAACACTTTTGGAATAGACATCGTTACACAAACTTACGCTCATTTTTAATACTGAATATGACAAAATTATCAAAAATGGGGGTTTCCATTTGAAAAAGTTCATTTTGGGGGGTTTTTTCAACTGTAATTTGAAGCTTGTTTTTTTGACACTTTGCCTTAATAGTTTTCAAAATATTTTCCAAATTCCATTAAAGTAAGTCCTTTTCAACAATAAATGCGACTCAAACTAATTATGACAAATTCCCTTACAGGAAAAATTATTCGAGTGGCTGCAACTGTCATTTTTTTCATAAAATTTCAAATATCTCCAAATCGGTTAGCCTCAGGTATAGGATATTATCCACGAAATACATTTGGAATTTGGAGTAGAATTCAAAAATGTAATAATATGTGAACGCTTACACTGTTCAAGCAAACCACTTCTGAAGATGCACAGACCACTCGTGCTTGCGAAACGTCAGGAAGAAATTCTACCGAACGACGGCATAAAAACCCATTAGTTTCAAGGAATGGCCTCGAAAGTCCACCTCTATATATATGTTTATATTAAACCTTACATATTTGTGCAGCAAAGCAACTAACTTAATAGCTTTTTTGCCTTGATTGCAGTTTCGCACCTCATTGGATGACCGACCCCGATCATTCAGTATCGTGCCTTTACCAGAAGATCGGTGCTTCATGGTCCGGATGGCTTCCAAAGAATACAGAAGAAACAATCCACCATGGGGCCTTCTATTCAGTTTTACTTCGGCCGGGATTCCGGTTGATTTCCGTCAACACCAACTATTGCCATTCTTTAAGCTGGTAAGGCTCAGAGCAAATAATGGCCCCAGCAGAGATTCGACCCAAAAATGTTCGGTTCATTTGTTACAGGTGGCTTCTGGTCAACAGCACTGATCCAGCCAGCGAACTGAAGTGGTTGATAGCAGAATTGCAGAAGGCGGAGAGTAACAGCGAAAAGGTTCATATTATAGGTTGGTACCCATACTTAATCAGCTCGCGGCTCAATGAGATTTTTTCGCGTCTTTTTTTTTATTTTTTATTTTATGCGTAGGCCATATAGCGCCCGGTAGCTCGGACTGCATGAAAACCTGGTCCAGTAACTTTTACAACATCGTAAATCGCTATGAACACACGATAAAGGCGCTCTTCTATGGCCATAGTCATGCCGATGAGTTTGAGGTGTTCTACGAAGCCACCGATTTCAGCAGTAAGAACGCGTTTAGGAAACGTATCAGGTGGTGGAAAAGTAGAAAATTGTCCGATTTAAAATTCACAGGTGAAGGGCTTTTATCATCATCACTGTGTACATGACTAATGAAACGGCAGTGTGAATAGGCCTACAATTTTCTTCGGAAAGTGCAATTGAATTTGGCGCTTCACCGTCGTCTAGCAACGATAACACAAACAGCTACGTTTCATGACATAAAGCTGTCAACCAATGAAAGACAGATGCTTGACAGCGCTTGTGTGTCAAATTCAATTTGTGTGACTACATGAAGGTTTACCCCCGGTTGCACCGTTCTCGCTTTAAACACTGATTAGCTAAACACTGATTAGGTATATTTTAACCGGTGTTAGAAAAAAATACTTTGCACCGTCGCAAACTAATCGTCTGTTAGTTATTCAGAGAATCACTATGGCACCTCCGCTTTTTTGGCTTAGGTTGCTATCTTCATGATTATCGAATTTCATTTCACATAATCTTTACAATATATTGGTTATGTTATATTTTATTGTGTACTACTTGTCTTCATGTCAACGGTTGATCTAGGGGGGGGGGTNTGACCCCCCCTCCCCCATTCAATTCGCTATTCAACGATGCCAAAACGAATTCTTTGGCTTGAATGGTTCTTGAGAAACTTCGAAAAAAGCAGCGCCATGTTCAAGTGGATTTTGCAACTCAAAAAAAAAACCACGCAAATCTAAAACTTCTTGGATTCAAGCATTTTTTGAGAAAACTGCCAGCATTTCCTTATCGATGGTTTACTTTCTAAAAAGGCCATTTACTTCTCTCTAGAATGATGTACAAATGAGCGTTCTTGCTCATTTTGCCTCCGAGAAATGAATAAAAATGGGACGGAAAACATGGAATTTTGGCATAATCTTGCACCTATGTGTTTGATATTCAAATTTCGCTTTCTGGGTCAAAACTACTCAAATTTCCTCACTCACGTTGTTACGACTGAATCGAGTTTTCAATTCTCTATCCAACGATGCCAAAACGAATT